TCAGACGTTGCCGCGGAGGGCCTCGCCCTCTATCCTCCTGGCGAACTCGGCTGGGTCCATCAGCGGCTGCAGCTGCTCGTCGGTCACTGTGGGCTCGGTCGTCCCGTCCAGGACAGGGCATCGCACGAACAGGCCCAGGTCGCCGGGCTCGATGGTCGCCTCGGGGCCTGGGAACCAGATCGGGGTGCCCTGCGGCTTCACGATGCCCGCCAGGTTCAGCTCGAAGTTCTGGCGGAGCTTGAGATTCGTGGCGTCGCCTCCCTCCTTGAAGCCAATCACGGCACTCTTCCCGATGTGAGGGGGGAAGTGGAAGCAGTCGAACTCGAGGTTGAACGCCATGAGCCCAGCCTTATAGTTGGTGCTGCGCCCCACGTGCTCCGACTGCTGGAAGGAGGGGAACAGCGCCTGCGACGAACTCTACACACGCCCGCACACGGACTCCGATCGGGTGTGCCGAAGAGGGGGAAGAGTAAAGAGGGTGGGGTGGTCATCATGGCCCAGGGGCATGTGCGCGGATGAGGTGGGGGGCCAGGGGATGCGCTGGAAGAAAAGGACGAGGCCATGACATCTTGAAGATTCCATGGCACTGGTCATGACCGCCCCCCGTCCCTAGCTCGAGCAGGGGCCGACCGTCCTGGCATTGCTCTAGTCATACCACGACATGTTCTTAGAACCCAAACATGTTCTAAGAACAAAAACAGTGTTCTTAGAACATGAACCCGATGTGTTAAAAAGCAGGACAGTCCCAGCCAGACATGCTCCAAGAACGTCTCGTGGGAACCACAGAAGCTTCTCAGAACATCCTCTGGTAGGGCTACAGGCACGCCGGGACGCTTCGCCACTGCTCGAGACTAGCCCCCGCTCCCCGCGTGGCCGCCCCCGATCCGACCCGGCCCCGCGAGAAGCCACATCTCGGGGGCCGGGCTCGGGACACCCCGCCCTGGGGAACCTCACCGGCGAGCCGCGCAAGCTTACGACGCCAGGCTGCAGTTGACCTTACAGGGCAGCTTTTAATATATAGGATTTGTTCAAACAACTTATAGGATTTCTTATACGTGTCTTATACGTGGTTAATCTATGAATAAGTTTATGCATGCACTCCTCGTTGTCTTGAATACTAAATCCCTGCATTCGTAGTACATGATCCGCACGCAGAGCATGTATTAAAAACGGCACTGTACATGCAATCGAGGGGGGCTGGGTGACTACGGTCAGGAACTTTCGCTTAGCGTGTCACGGCGGCTTCGCGGGACGGGGATGTTGTCGGTGGGAGAGGCCCTGGGTGTCGACGCTCCTAGACCAGGACGTGGTTAGCGTGTCGCGCCGAAACGCGGTGGGACAGAACTAGCGGGGCGACATGCTAAGCAAACGTTCCTGACCGTACGAAGGCCCCCCCCCCTCTCCCCCTCCTTCTCTGGACGCCGCCCCAGCCAGGCCAGGGTAGACGGAGTCGGAAGATCACACCACATCGCCGATGCACTACCGATGCGCCGGCGACGTCGGGATGGAGAGCACCAGACTTAAGATCGCGTCGCATCCTCGGTGCATCGGCGCAGCAGCAAGCTCCTCCGACCCCACCTGATCCCGCCCCACTTTGGCGGCCTGGTCCCTCGGGGGATCTGGGGCGATGGTTGGGGGCAGATGGTGGATCCCTGCTGCTCTGCGGCGACACGCGACGATCGCGGGAAGCTTGTCCAAGGAAGCCCGGACAGGCTTTCGGCCGGAGTCCTGGGTAGACACCGAGCCAGCCCTGTACGTACAGACCCGTGCAACACGTGCACGTGCACATGGGGCCAGACACCGCGCCGGTTTCCTGCACTTTGCTGAGAAAACGTTGGGCCCAAACGCGGTTTGGTAATGACCAGCGCACATAATTTGTCAGGCCCTAAGCCTGAGTAAGGCCGAGGATGTTCTTGTCGGTGTTGTCCTCGCCGTCCTTGGGTGCGGGCATCCCGAAGTACAGCCATGAACCGTTCATGATGACCGAGTCCTTCTTGGGAACCTCGGGGCGCTCCAAGATTCCCCTGATGCTGCTCCTCATCTTTCTCCAACCGCTGGGGGGAGTGGAAAAAGGAGGAATCGAGGAATGGGGAGGCAGGAGGCGGGGAGACGAAGAGAGAAAATACTTTTTCTGCGTGATCACGATGACAGCGAGATATAGGTGCCCCTGCACACCGCGACCTCAGGAGAGGCTCCCAGCTGTAGCATGAGAGTGGGGTCTGTTTTGCTGCGGGCGGAGCGTGGGCCACGGCCTGCCAACCAGCGCAATCAAATCTGCTGCAAGGCGGCTCTTGGCGGGAGCGAAAAGAACGAACTTGCGTTTGCCCTGGTATCATGATATCAGTGTGCACCCTACGGATCTGCAGTGGATGTTTCTCCTGAGTTAGCGTCTGCTATGATGTCGCCTGCTGTCGGCTCTGCAAGAGGATGCCCCTCACGACTGCCATTCGAGCGAAATCGTTACGCGACATGGGGGTCGAAGGGCAGCAGCATCAAGGGCAGGGGCGGAGTAGGAAGAGAATTTGCAAACAACCCGTGCTAGGTAAAACGGGTACAGTTTCAGACTCGTGCCCTTCTCCTGTTGCCTGAAAACTCCGATGCTCCTCTCGCCAAGCTCAATAACTGGCTCGACAAGCCACTGCACGAGGGTCTCTCGCAGTGCATATGCAATCTTGGTGAGCGAATCTGCAATCGCGTTGCTCGTGGGGACCCACCTCATCGAACCTAGTCTTAAACTTGCCTGGACTGACAGGACGTCCAAGAGCGTACGCTTCTCGTCCAAAATAGGATTCCGCTAAATGATCAAATCGTGCAAACCCTTACATCCGTAATAACACACAACGGCACGGCGGGCGGATCGCCTTCGTACGATTTTCCCGTTTAAGCCTCGCTCAGAGACGTCGAGGCGTGAAAACCTCGATCTACAGCGGCGCAAGCCTCTGCAGCTAAAGTAAATGAGCCTGGCGTTGTGCGCGAACGCTGCGCCAGTCAGCGGCCGAAACTGGTGCTGACTCGGCCAGCGCCTCACGATTGGTCAAGACCACCATTGCTCTGGTCTGGCTCTTGAACTCCTGTGCGTTGGCCCAGCTAGAACCCTCGTAAGTGACGGTGATCACAATGATCTCCCCCGACTCGTTGAACATGCGGATGGGCTGCGTGGTGATGCCTACCGCCGGCGTGTTCCGCTGGTGCTCGATTGTCTGCTAATACATCTCCTTCAGGTCGGTGATCTGCGGGTCCTCGCTCTTCAGTAACGAAACGTAGGCGGAGACATCCGGCCAACATATCCCCCAACGCCACTGGCAACTCCCGACACAGCTCATCTCGGTGCGCTCCGCCGCGGTGAGCGAACCTCCTTCGCGAATCCGACTGGCAGGGATGCGGCGAACCTCGAATACCTGAATGTACTCCTCCTGGGTGATGACAACGCGGCCGTCCTGGTACTGGTTGGTGTCGCGGCCACAACATGCGAGCTCTCGAGGAAAAAAGTCCAACTACACCCACGCAGTCGAGCAGCTTCGTATCGCATACGGCAAACATGTCGTCCACGTACCAGAATATGATGGCAACCGAACGTGTTCTGTCATACTCGAGGAAGCGCATGACGTCGAGACTGTGGCTGACGAATCCAAGCTCGGCAATCTCGCGGCGGATGCGACGGCACAGGACGAGGGATGCGTCGGCGAATCCGAAGATATTCACTGTCACCTCGTGCAGCGAGGTGCGGCTGGGCGCCAGTTCCGATCACCAGCGAGTCGCGCGGCGGTTTGAGGTAGACCTTGTCGTAATTTGGCGGCTGCCCTGGAAGAAACTGTTCCCGAGGTCGTTCTCGTGGTCGTGTATCTTCGTAGACGCCAGGATCTGGCAGGCGGCGAAACAGCTGATGCGCTGGGTAGTCGGGGAGCGCCTCTCGAGCGCTTCCAGCCTCGGATCCCTGCAACCAGCGGCGACTCCACGGCTCTTGGCGGCCACCTCTCCCTGTCCGCAGATCTTGTCGCGATAGCAGCACCGGCCACGGACGCACTGCTTGCGAATCTGTGGCGAGTTGAGCATGCATGTCCTTCGCGAGCCCCCCCGACACGGCGACCATCGCCCACTTGGCCCAGTTGTTGTTCTACTCCTTGCGGGTAGCCTCCAGGAAGCCCTGCAGCGTAGCGCCGTCCATGGACATGACCTCTACGCGGGACCTCTCCCGGTCGTGGGGCTTTCTTCTCCGCGCGGGTCATGCGGTTCTCCTGTGCTTTGCCTTTCGTGGTTGCCAGAGGTGGTCGCGCTCGCGTAGCTGATGCCGCGCCCCTCGTCGGCGATCGCCTGCATCACCTCGGGGTGCGAGGCGACGTTGCCGAGGTCCTGGAACGCTGCTGGGGCGTCGTCGGGGCCGCCCCAGCCGCTGCCGACCTCGTTCGACCAGAAGCTGGTCGTCCAAGCCCGGGCGCAGCGGCTCGAGATGCGAGGCCGCTTCGCCTCGGGCAGCTGGGCCGCCTGAGGCACCGAGCGTTCCGCCATCCGAGTCCGCGGGGACCTCAAGTTGGGGTCCTGCTCGAGGTCGGAAAGCCTCGCGGCCCTCGGCGTCGAGGTTCACTGCTTTGCAACCGCGTTGCATTGCAACCGCACTGCATTGCAATCTCACGGTGTTGCATAGCAATTGCATCCAATTGCATCGCGTTGCATTGCTCTGCAATCTCATTGCGTTGCGGTCGCATCGCTTTGCATTGTAATGATTTGCGTTGCTATGCATTCCTTCGCATTGTCTAAGAATCCGTTGCATCGTCTGTTGCTTTGCATTGGGGCGCAGTGTTTTGCTTTGCATCGCGTTGCGTTGCTTCGCTTTGCATTGCTTTGCAATCGCATCGCATTGCAATCACATTGCATTGCTTTGCATTGCCTTGCATTGCATTGCTTTGCTGCGCTTTGCATTGCTTCGTGTATTGCAACTGGATGGCTTTACAGTGTAGTTGCATTGCAATCGCATTGCAATTGCGTTGCAATTGCAATGCAAGTGTGTTGCATTGCTTTGTATTACGTTGTGTTGTGTTGCGTTGCATTGTTTTGCGTTACCTTGCATCGCATTGCATTGGTTTGCATTGCTTTGCATTGCAATTGCGCTGCAAGCGCATTACATTGTGTCGCTTTGCATTGGTCTGCAATCGCATCGCATTGCAATCGCATTGCATATACTGTACCACATGGATTGCGCCACTTAGATTGGGCCACATTGATGGGACCAAACTAAACCCAGCACGTACTGATACACATCCACTGGACCGGCCAGCCTGGGCGGCACGGGACGGGGTGGAGGCGAGGGGGGGGAGCAGAGGGAGGGAACCGCAGAGACACAGGAACTCCCTGCGCGGGCTCAGGCTTCACGGGCTTCGACCTCCTGTTCCCCTTCCCCCTGGGCCACGCCGCCTCCCCTCCTATCCCTCTCCCCTTCCTCCTCCTCGCCCTCACCCCTTCTCGTCCCCAACACTTTTGTATTGCTATAGTTTTCCTCCTTCTCCTTGTCCCGTTCTCCTCCTTCCTCCTCCGCTCGCCCCCTCCCCGCTTATGCTCCACTCGAACTGCCTCCCCCCCTCCCCACCTGTACCATCCAACTCTCCAACTCCTCCTCGTCTTCGGCGTCCTCCTCGTCCAACCTCGCCATATTCGGCCTCCCTCCCACTCCTCCCTCCTCCTCGTGTCTTCCCTGCCTCCCGCATCCTCATCCCTCTTCTCCTCCATCTCCCGCCCGCATCGTCTTTGGGAGCCTTCACCACCACCCGGCTCTTGCCGTCGTCCGAGGGGTTGTCCATGAGCAGCAGGACGGCATTATGCTCCTGCCCGGACGAGCTCTCCCTCACTCCTTCCTCCCCTGCGACTTGAGAAGCTTGGTACTTCTTAATTGTGCCCTGGACGTTTTTTATATACAATTACGCTACCGAGGAACCCCACATACTTATATTATGGCTGGAGTGATGGTAGCTGAAGTGAAGCATGTGAGAATGACGTTGGTGGCCGTTGCCACCCACTGCGCATCCCCTATGGTGTCGAGCAAATGCCACGCCTGCTATGCACTGGACGACCGTCGTGCATAGCGGCCGCGGTGAGAGACCACCCCCTGCGCACACCCTTATGGTGTCGAGAAAGTGCCACGCCTGCTATGCCCTGGACGACCGTCTCGGATAGCGGCCGCGCTCAGGGACCACAGCGGCCGCGCAGGGACCACCCCCTGCGCACCCCCTTTTGGTGTCGAGAAAGTGCCACGCCGGCTATGCCCTGGACGACCGTCTCGGATAGCGGCCGCGGTGAGGGACCACCCCCTGCGCACCCCCTATGGTGTCGAGAAAGTGCCACGCCTGCTATGCACTGGACGACCGTGGTGCATAGCGGCCGCGGTGAGGGACCACCCCCTGCGCACCCCCTATGGTGTCGAGAAATTGCCACGACTGCTATGCACTGGACGACCGTCTCGGATAGCGGCCGCGCTCAGGGACCACCCCCTGCGCACCCCCTTATGGTGTCGAGAAAGTGCCACGCCTGCTATGCACTGGACGACCGTGTCGGATAGCGGCCGCGCTCAGGGACCACCCCCTGCGCACCCCTTATGGTGTCGAGACAGTGCCACGCCGGCTATGCCCTGGACGACCGTCTCGGGTAGCGGCCGCGCTCAGGGACCACCCCCTGCGCACCCCCTATGGTGTCGAGAAAGTGCCACGACTGCTATGCCCTGGACGACCGTCTCGGATAGCGGCCGCGCTCAGAGACCACCCCCTGCGCACCCCCGATGGTGTCGAGAATGTGCCACGCCTGCTATGCACTGGACGACCGTCGTACATAGCGGCCGCGGTGAGAGACCACCCCTGCGCACCCCCTATGGTGTCGAGAAAGTGCCACGACTGCTATGCCCTGGACGACCGTCTCGGATAGCGGCCGCGCTCAGGGACCAACCCCTGCGGACCCCCTATGGTGTCGAGAATGTGCCACGCCTGCTATGCCCTGGTGTCGAGAAAATGCCACGCCTGCCATGCCCTGGACGACCGTCTCGGATCGCGGCCGCGCTCGGGGACCACCCCCTGCGGCCCCCCTATGGTGTCGAGAAAATGCCACGCCTGCTATGCCCTGGACGACCGTCTCGGATACCGGCCGCGCAGGGACCACCCCCTGCGCACCCCCTATGGTGTCGAGAAAGTGCCACGACTGCTATGCCCTGGACGACCGTCTCGGATAGCGGCCGCGCTCAGGGACCACCTCCTGCGCACCCCCTATGGTGTCGAGAATGTGCCACGACTGCTATGCCCTGGACGACCGTCTCGGGTGGCGGCCGCGCTCAGGGACCACCCCCTGCGCACCCCCTATGGTGTAGAGAAAGTGCCACGCCTGCTACGGCCTGTGTGTGTATGTTTGTATGTTTGTATGTGTGTATGTGTGTATGTTTGTATGTATGTATGTATGTATGTATGTATGTATGTATGTATGTATGTATGTATGTATGTATGTTTGTCACATCTGCTCCTGTGCTGTGCTGTGCCGAGCTGAACTGTGCTGTGCTGTGCTGAGCTGAGCCGTGATGTGCTGAGCTAAGCTGTGCTGAGCTGTGCTGAGCAATGTTGTGCTGTGCTGTGCTGCGCTGTGTGAGAAGCGGAGGAGGGTGGGGTGTGGCGGCCGCGGGTGCGACGAGGCAGAGAAGAAAACCATAACCCCACTAAGCATGTTGGGACAAAAAAAACACGTTTCAAACTCGGCGTGTTGAAGGTTATTGTTTGCACGCGCTTTTAGGTCCCAGCAAGGAAATCGAAAACGAGAGATCAATTACGGTACAGAGGAACCCCATATACTTATATTATGGCTGGGGTGATGATAGCCGAAGTGAAGCATGTGAGAAAGATGTTGGTGGCCGTTGCCCCGCCGATACCGCAAGGACGACCGTCACGGATAGCGGCCGCGCTCAGGGACCACCCTGTGCGCACCCCCCCTGTGGTGTCGAGAAAACGCCACGCCTGCTGCGCCCTGGACGATCGTCACGGATAGCGGCCGCGATCAGGGACCACGCCGTGCGCACCCCTTGTGGTGTCGAGAAAACGCCACGCCTGCTGTGTGCCCTGGACGACCGTCACGGATAGCGGCCGCGCTCAGGGACCACCCCGTGCGCCCCCCCTGTGGTGTCCAGAAAGCGCCACGCCTGCTGTGCCCTGGGCGACCGTCACGGATAGCGGCCGCGCTCAGGGACCGCCCCCTGCGCACCCCCTGTGGAGTTGAGAAAACGCCACGCCTGCTGTGCCCTGGACGACCGTCACGGGTAGCGGCCGCGCTCAGGGACCACCCCGTGCGCACCCCCTGTGGAGTTGAGAAAACGCCACGCGTGCTGTGCCCTGGAACGGATAACGGCCGCGCTCAGGGACCACCCTGTGCGCACCCCCTGTGGTGTCGAGGAAACGCCACGCCTGCTGTGCCCTGGGCGACCGTCGCGGGCAGCGGCCGCGCTCAGGGACCATCCCGGGCGCACCCCCTGTGGTGTCGAGGAAACGCCACGCCTGCTGTGCCTTGGACGACCGTCACGGATGGCGGCTGCGCTGAGGGACCACCCCGTGCGCACCCTCTGTGGTGTCGAGAAAACGCTACGCCTGCTGTGCCCTGGACGACCGTCACGGATAACGGCCGAGCTCAGGGACCACCCCGTGAGCACCCTCTGTGGTGTCGAGAAAGCGCCACGCCTGCTGTGCCCCCTGGACGACCGTCACGGACAGCGGCCGCGCTCAGGGACCACGCCCTGCGCCCCCCCCTGTGGTGTCGAGAAAGTGCCAACCATACTGTGCCCTGGACAACCGTCACGGATAGCGGCCGCGCAGGGACCACCCTGTGCGCACCCCCGATGGTGTCGAGGAAACGCCACGCGTGCTGTGCCCTGGACGACCGTCACGGACAGCGGCCGCGCTCAGGGACCACCCCGTGCGCACCCCCTGTGGTGTCGAGGAAACGCCACGCCTGCTGTGCCCTGGACGACCGTCACGGATGGCGGCCGCGCTCAAGGACCACCCCGTGCGCACCCCCCGTGATGTCGAGAAAACGCCACGCCTGCTGTGCCCTGGAGGACCGTCACGGATAGCGGCCGCGCTCAGGGACCACCCCGTGCGCACCCCCTGTGGTGTCGAGGAAACGCCACGCCTGCTGTGCCCTGGACGACCGTCACGGATAGCGGCCGCGCTCAGGGACCACCCCGTGCGCACCCCTTGTGGTGCCGAGAAAGTTCCACGCCTGCTAGGCCCTGCGATATTGGTGCGTATAGGGGCCTCGGTGAGAGACCACCCCCTGCAACCCCCCTCTGGTGTCGAGAAAGTGCCACGCTTGCTAGGCCCTGCGTGCTCTGCTGTGCTGAGCTGTGCTGTGTTGTGCCGAGCTGAGCTATGCTGTGCTGAACAGTGCTTTGCTGTGCTGTGCTGTGTTGAGCTGTGGTAAGCTGTGCTGAGCTGTTCTGAGCTGTGCTGAACAGTGCTGTGCTGTGCTGCGCTGTGAGAGAAGGGGAGAAGGGAGGTGTGTGCGTGAGACGCGGTTGCGACGAGGCAGAGAAGAAAACCATAACCCCACTAAGCATGTGGGGAATTATAATGTTTGTGTGCGTTTTGAGCTCGATTTTGTAGCGTGTTCAGATCAATTGGTTGCGCAGTTTGAAACTGCCGGCCACGATGTCATCAGTTCCTGCTCTTTGCGTCCAGTCCTTCCCATATTTCGAACACTTTGCTCTTGGCAGGTCGTCGCTGCTGGCTGGTCGAGGGGGCCTCCGGGCCTGTTCCGCGCCGGTGTTGGACCTGTGTTAGGAGGGCGTCTCTTGCGGCGTGTTTAGCTCTGCGCTCTGCGCGCGGAGCGGGGGGGAACGGGAGGCGGCAGGAACGGGAAAGCGGGAGCGAAGGCGGCAGTGAAGACCAGGAGCAGGCTTCGACAAGAATGCAAAAAAACGCCAACAAAACTTAGGATCCACAGCGATGGGCCTGAAAGCGGTCAAACAATGCATTCAGAAACGCAAGAAATCGCTAGACATACGTAGCGCTGCTTTAGCGCTTCTAGCTTGTCAGGAGCCCAACATGCATTAAAAAACACGCCCAGGGTGTTTTGAAGGAGACCAAGCCGACAAGGACACTTGGCTCTGCTGTAAGCTGGTGGGCTTATTTTCCACCACTACCATAGGTGGCACGGGGGAGAAGGGTGGATGAAACTGTCCTTTCCTTCTTTCGCTCCTCCTTCTCCTCCTCGCCCCCCTCCTACCTATAGTAGTGATGGTGGAACATCGGCTCATCATAAACGCAAGAAGTCTTGCGATAAGAAATCTACGGGCATATCCTTCGTCAACCCTGAGCTTCGCAAGGTGCCCCAGTGCTCTGAGGGCCCACAGGGAGATAAGAGCTTATCGTACAGTACTCGCTGGCAGGACCGTTTGTTTCTTGGGGCGCTTACTATAATGTCGACACGTGCGCCTGCGGTAACCAACGGCATCAACATCGGGAGAGGCGAAGTCCAGTTGGAGTCCAAACGGCTAGAGGGGGGCCTTGGCTCCAACGCGCCGTCGAAGAGGAGGCCAAATCCAAGTGGAGGCCCACCAGATGGAGCCCCTTGGTGCCAACTGGACTTGGCCGTCGCCCGACGCCTGCTTCGACCACGGGTGCCGCGAGCGGCTCGAATCAACTGACCAGCAGCGCGTGGCTGCCCTTTCCTGGTGAGCGTGGCGTGCCCGTCTTGGCCTCGCTGCCTCCTCCCCCTCCTCCTCCTCCTCCTCCTCCTCTTCCTCCTCCTCCTCCTCCTCCTCCCCCTCCTCCTCCCCCTCCTCCTCCTCCTCCTCCTCCTCCTCCTCGCAGTCGCCTTCCTGGATCGCTCTCCACGTGAGCTGGGAAACCACCCCGCGATGCCGAGGGCGGCGACGGGCTCCCAAGAGGCCCCCAGGAGCCTCCCAAGAGGCCCCCCAAAACTACCCCGAAGAAGCACCCGAGAGTCGTCGTCGTCGTCGTCGTCGTCGTCGTCGTCGTCGTCGTCGTCGTCGTCGTCGTCGTCGTCGGCGTCGTCGTCGTCGTCGTCGTCGCCATCCAAGGTCGGCGGCACTGGCCGCAAGGCCTTCGCAATCACAATACGATGCCAAGGGCGGGCGACTGGCACAATGACTTCTGGGCGCGGGCCTGCCCGAGCAGTGCCTGCACTCTGCCTCAACCTGATACCTGCCCACCGAATTGCATGCCACCAACTGAACCGCGAATGCAAGAGACAATCGTTGTTCCATGCTGATCGGCACAATGTTGTGCGCACCGATGTGTCAATAGAGGAATCGGCAATGTTGTTCGCTTCGGGTCAGACGGACGACACGTTCTATACCATGCTTCATGTGGGCCCCAAGGGGCGTCATGGAAGCTCTTGCGTGACTCTTCTGGGCCTCCTCTGCTTCCTCGGAGGCCGCTTCTGCAATCTTGGGCGGGCCCTCGTCGTTTCTGATGGGTGTCACCAGGCTGCAGGGAGCTCCAGGAGGTTCTTGGGGCTCCAAGGTCGCCTGACTCTTCGCACACGGCCCCCATGCGATGTGCCACTACCTCCGCGCACTCGCGCCGCCCCCTCGGAGGAGGGCAGCTGCTCTGGCCCAGACCGCCGCGCGAGGCGCGGCTATCTTCGCACACTCGCTGGCGACCTGAGGGTCCTGACGACAAGCAGCAGCAGCAGCAGCAGCAGCAGCAGCAGCAGCAGCAGCAGCAGCAACAGCAGCAGCAGCAGCAGCAGCAGGAGGCAGGAGGAGGAGGAAGGGGGAGGACGAGGAGGAGGAGAAAAGGAGGAGGAGGAGGGGGAGGAAGAGAGCCCTCCTCGCGGAACCCGAGTTCGCCTACCTTCTTCCCGTGCAGATGCTTGCTCTTCTCGTCCACCACGGCCGCGTACGCCGTGAGCGGCGCAGCGCTGGCCTTGTACTCGAACAGGTGCTTTCGGGTCGTCGACTTGGACACGGCGGGCTGAATGTAGTGCTGGTGCTGCGGGGGGGGGCACTTTTTGGGGGGCTGGGGGCGGTGAGAGGGGGGGAACGAAAAGGGGGAGGGGGAGGGGGGATGCGGCGGCGGAGGCGGAGAGGGGAGGGGGAAGGAGAACGCGGGAAAGGGAGAAAGGTGCGTAGAGTCAGGTCTCCCTCTCTCGAATTCTCCTCTTACCCATCCTCCGTTCCGCCCCTCCTGCTGTCCCCCTCCCTCGGCCTGGCGTGCTTCGGCAAATGGGAATCTCCCCTTTCACCTCTTCTTTCCTTTCCCCCTCGCCGCAAGGCAGGTCCTCTAGAGGGGAGAGGGGTGTCTCCCCGCACCTACCTCTTACCTACTCTTTCCTCCTCCTCACTCCTCCGCCTCTTGTCTTGCTGTACTCTTCCCTCGCCCCAGCGAGCATCGGAACGTGGTAATCCCCCCCACCTCTCCCCTAGATTGGCCGCCTGACCTCTCATAGAGCCCGTCCTGACCATGATTTCAAAACAGATCCAGCTGTAGTGATTAGGTCCCCCCAGGAAGCCCCGCACCAAGCAACGTCAACGTTCCTCGTCCTACTCCTCTCCTCCTCCCTTCCTCCCTCCTCTTGCCCTCCCTTTCCTCATCCACATTCACCACCACCTCCTCCTGCCTCCTCCCCCTCCTCCTCCTCTTCCTCCTCCTCCTCCTCCTCCTCCTCCTCCTTCTCTTCATGTGAGCAGTGCCCCTCTTTTGGCGCCCGCCCCCCACGCGGCTCCTCCCCACTGCTGCTGTCAGGAGGGATCTCGCTCTGGCACTTCGCGATAGTCCACCTCGGGGCGAGGCCTCGTCGGCCTGGTCGTCGTCGTCGTCGTCGTCGGCGGCGGCGTCGTCGTCGGCGTCGTCGTCGTCGTGGCCACCATCGCCATCGCCATCATCGCCGCCGCCGTCGTCGCCGCCGCCGGTGTCTCCACCGTGGCAGTGCCACCCACCTCGTTCTCCTTCTCTCTCCTCTTTCCTCCTCGTCGTTTCCTCTCCTCCTTCCTTCTGCTTCTTTATCCATTTCCTTCCCGCCTATCTTCTGGCTTCATTGCGAGCAGTCCGAGCATCGCCTTCTTGAGGTTATCCTGCATCGGCTCCATCGTGGCGGGCCTGTTGGGGCGCCATTTCACAGTGTCCCTGGACGCGTCGATGAGGTCCCACCGGTGCTGGTAGGTCTGGTGCAGGATGAGGCCCAGGCCTGATGGGAGGAGGGATCGGGGATGACTGGGAAAAAAGTGAGGGAGGGAGGGACGAGGGGGATGAACGTGGGGAAGAGATTGGAGCATCTGTGTGTGAAAATTGAGCCGAAGGCGGAGGGGCAGCGGAGGGAGGAGGGAGAGTGGAAATGGACAAGCTAAGTGCCCTCGCGTCAAATCTGACGTCCTACCCCTCCCTCCCATCTTACCATGGCGTAGATCTCCTCTCTGTTCGCACAAACGGATGTCGTAGCATGAAGATCAACGAGTGGCATGACATAGCATGGCGTGGCGACGGCCCAAAGTGGGGGGGAGGCTTCTGCGGCCCCAGACATCAACGAATCGACATCGGATGCGCAATCACTTCCAATGTTTTTTTCGGGAGGCCATTTTCTAGATTGTGGGGCCTATTTGGAAGAACCGAAAACCATGCCGTAGCATGGAACTGGACATCATGACGCCAACGCCGCAGCGGGAGCACGAGTCGGAACGAGCGGCAGCGCGGAAATGAGGCCAGCGCTGCAGCGGGATCAAGATTCGGAACGAGCGGAGTCGCGGACGTGAGGCCAGCGCTTCAGCGGGAACATCATGTTGAAAAACCACCCAAGCGAAAACCCAACTCCTGGGAATCCGGTGTCCAAAAACAGTACGCGGCAGGGGGCCCGAAATCTTCTGGACGTCGCCAGGGGAGAGAGGAGAGTAGTATCCATATTGTAAAAACAATACGCGGAAGGGGGCCCGAAATCTTCTGGACGTGGCCAGGGGAGAGAGGAGAGTAGTATCCAGATTGTGCAATCGTAAAGGGCACGAAGGGGACCCACGGGGCGCTCGTCGTTCAAGGCCACGCCCCCCGCAGCGGATATCATTCTTTGGGCTGCGTCTGAAGAGGGAGCAGCGGGGGCGTGATCCCCCCCCCTTCCCCCGCCCCTGCCAGCAGCGTCAGAGCCGCTCCTTCACAAGAACAGCTCGTGCTGAGTCCAGAGCGAAGGCGGCCCCAAGACAGCGCTCTGGTGCAGCCGTGGAGCCGCGCTCGGGCTCCCCGATATGGCTTCCGGAACGAGGAGCAAAAGGAAAACGGGGCCACAACGGCTTCTGTCCGCGAGATTGCCCGACACCGCGTGCGCATCGGCTCGCGTAGCTGGTTCCCCCTGCCACTTTTCACCGCCAGGCGGCGCGCACGAAGGGGCGGGGGGAGGGGGGAGAGCTCCTTCGAAGGAGGCTGCTTCTTAGGTCGAAGGTGCCGGCCCTACATCCATAGATAAGGTCAGCGGCTTCTAAGTGGCAGGGGTGCTTGTAAGAAGCCCTCCCCCCTCCCCCCACCCCCCTCTGCGCGTGGCTGACAACGAGCGCACGCAACTACACATGCATCGACAACTAGTGCAGAGCCCCCCCCGTTTCCGGCAAACTGCCATCAGTGGGGACGGGGTGCACCAGACCGATGAAACTCAACCACACAAGTCCGAAGGAAAAGGAGAGGAGAGGGGGCAGGAGACGAGGAGGAGGAGGAGGAGGAGGAGGAGGAGGGGGATGAGGATGAGGAGGAGGAGGAGGAGGAGGAGGAGGAGGAGGAGGAGGCCGTAGCCATTTTGGCTCAAGGGGCCTTCTCCTGAACTTCCAACCTCGCTCGAGCAGTTGAGGCGTGTGAAAAAAGGGATACCTTGAGACTCTCTGGCCAGGGGTTCGCGACCCCAGCCCAATTCTTTCACGATTACCCTCTCCCCGCGGCAGCGATGGGGAAACATCAGCAGCAGAAAGGTTACCAGCAGTGCCCGCATGCTTCTTGTGGCTATCGCTGGAATTGGAAGAAGCATTCGCAGTGTTGGCAGTGTGGGAAAGCTATCGGGCCCGCAGCCAATGATTGGCCCAAACCAGCCTCGGGAGCCTGGGCTTACGGCCCACCTCGCGCCCGTTCGCCAGGTGGGAGTCCCTTCACCATGGCGGGCAACATGGCAGCTGCTGGTCCGCCACCAGGCGTCTGGCAGGCAGGAGGCGCCACACTTCCAGCCACTTCGCCGTTCGCGCCCACCACGGAGCAGCTGCTGGAGGCACTCAAGCAACGACATCCAGAAGCAGGAGCGGAACTCCAAGCTTTTGAAGCCAAGGCAACTCCCCCAGTGCAGCAGGTGGAGAAACCCAAGCTACGGCCAGAACTCCAGCGAGAGCATGAGCTCAATCAAGCTGGGGTACAAGCTCGCAAGACATCTGAAGCTCTTGATCGTGCAATCCGATATGAAGCAGAATGCCGTGAATATCTTGCCAAAGCTGAAGCTGACACACGTGACAAAGCTAGAGCTGCAGCAGAGGCGGCAGCTCGACACCAAGCTCTTCTTCAGGCAAATGTCGACCCCAAGGTGCTGCAGCAGACCGCCCCCATCAACCTGTCCAAGTTGCTCAGCGCCACGGAGGAGGCAGAGCTCCTGGGGATTCTCAAGTTTGAGGATGGCGCCAGCTTTGACACGTCGGAGTTGGAATTATCGCCAGAAGAATTGCAGCAATGGAAAAATCATAAAGAGTCTTTGGCAAAAGAAGTATCCAAACTTATTTGTGCCGCGGTTGGACCCTCGGCTAAGACACTCTTGGAAAGGAAGCAACAGTTTGAAGAGTACAAGGCAAGGATGGCACACAAAAGGCGACGTACCAATGAAGGCGGAGCACGAGCTGGTGGCAGAGGTGACGCTGAGCCACAAGAGGCTGGAGGTACTGCAGAAGCGGAACCCAGGGGTGAGGCTACCTGTTCGGGCCCTAGTGCAGCAACACCCTCGGCGACGCAGGATGCTACAAGTCCATCAGCTACGGCACCGTCTCAGCCACATGTTTCTGATGAACAAATCCAGGCCACCCTCGAGGCGGCAAAGCAGAAGTTCGCGCAGTCGCAGGCATCCCCAACGAGTCTTTAGCCAAGGACGTGTACCACATGCTCGGCAACGTGGCGGCGCTGGGCAGAAGTTTCTTTTTTACTTCGCCAACTACACCAAGTGGAATGAGCGTGGCATGGCATATTTAGCGGCAGAGCATATGCAAGATGTTTTGCTCCACATGGGTGCCGAAACTCATCTGAGAGGAGGAGCGCTGTTGCAGGCGCAGAAGAAACTCAAGCGAGCGGGGTGGTTGTCCACCTCGGCCCCAGCTGTTCCCACGGCCAAAGAAGGGACGCTAGGGCATGGCGGGGTCTGGGTCCTCTCGAGGACCACCATCCACTCCCAGGTCCTTTACCCCTGTAAGATCGGCCCAGATGGTAAAGAACAGTTTTTCGGCACGCAGTGGGTAGGCAGGACAGTTAGGTTTAAAGGACTGGACGTGACTTTTGTTTCAGCATATTTGAATGACTCCGAGGGGGCTGTCGGCACCAACGGTCTTATCCTAGAAGAGCTAGCTGGATATTTACTCTCTGTGGCTAAGCACTACATAGTCATGGCGGACTGGAACATGACACCTGAGGAGCTCTGGGAATCTGGGTGGCCGTCGTTTGTTCGGGGACACATCGCTGTACCACCTGGCGAATTTACCAATTCTGGAGGCACTGGAAGAATCCTGGACTTCGGAGTCGTCTCGGAACATCTTGCCTCACTTGTCAAGCTTTCTCTGGACCAGAAGGGACCTTGGGCGCCACATCTGGGAATTTTTGGTGAGTTCGATCGGACTCAGAATATTCTGGAAGCTCGCATCTTGGTACCTGTTACCCCAATCCTACCGTACGTATATGGACCCGATCAGCCCTGGGAGATGTTTCAGCAGCAGGATGACGGCATTGAGAGGCCGCAGCATTATCATTTTTGGCCTGAGGCTACCTCAGACGACCTCACCAGGTTGTACGCGAGCTTCTCCATGCAGGCAGAGGCCTTCCTGCTGAATCGAGCGGGAAGAGAAGTAGGATCCCACAGGAGAGGTATGTGCCCTGAGGTTAAAGTTCAAAACCTTGTTGCTGCAAAACCACCTGGACATTTTGGACGCTCTCATGAACTGTGTTTCTGGGGAGGTATTCGATCCAGGTTCCAGGAGCTGTTTACTCTGGCTGATAAGGGCACGAGTGCTACTGTTCAGAATCACCGCATGGCTATACACAAACAGATTGAAACATGGAATACCGAGGCACAGGTAGCACAGTACTTTGCAGCAGTTCCAGAATCGGCTAGGAATGCAGGCGACAAGATCAGTGCCGCCTTGATATCGCCTCCTTCGACCAAGGAGGACATCCGCGAAGTTTTAAATGCAGCGAAAGAAGTTCTTGCCAAGGTCTCCATCGTGGCCATGAAAGAAAGCACAGCTGGATTTCGGAAGTTTCTTAGTACCAGCTTATCCTCGGGAGCTAGTTGGGCCCATCAGTTTTCCAGGACGTGGCAGGTGGAGGAGCCGAGCCTAAACATCGAGAAGGACGAAGGAGGAAAGGAGGTAATCGAACCAGTTGAATTGATGAAGGTGAAGGCGGAAAGGTGGTCGAGACTCTGGGGAGGAACGATTGGAAGACCGAAGCAACCTTTTCCTTTTTGGCTTCAGCGTCTTCGCGAAGCCGCTCATGCTCAGCAGGAAGAGCGACCTTTGCCAGATCTCACGGTTGCAGACCTGCGGCATGGCATGCGATATTTTAAGGACCATGCAGGCCTTGGAGCCGACCCATGGAACCCTAGGCAGTGGCTGACAATACCAGAGCAGGGCCAAGAGCAGTTGTTGGAGTTTTTCGTAGCTGTGGAATCCCAAATGAAATGGCCAGTGCAAACTTTGATCAACGTCGTCGCCCTCACCCCGAAACCGCCGCCAGGAGGAGACCGACCGATTACGTTGACCCCAGGGCCCTATCGTTTATGGAGTGTGATGCGCAAGCAAGCAATAGTTACATGGGAACGCAGCAAAGCGGGCTTCTGGGATTCAGCGGTAAAAGGAAGCAGTCCGTTACGAGCAGCGGTTTTAAGGCAACTTAAAGCAGAAACGTGTGGGCTTTTGAATATTAGTTGGGTGCAGCTTCTTTGGGACGCAGAGAAGTTTTATGATCTTATCCAGGGCGAGC